TTTTTAAAGATTTTTATTTTTTTCCTTTTTCTCCCCAAAGCCCCCCGCCGTTACATAGTTGTATATTCGTTGTGGGTCCACCTAGTTGTGGCATGTGGGATGCTGCCTCAGTGTGGTCTGATGAGCAGTGCCATGTCTGCGCCCAGGATTTGAACAAACGAAACACTGGGCCGCCTGCAGCGGAGCGTGCGAACTTAACCACTCGGCCACGGGGCCAGCCCCTCCAGCCCATTTTTTGATTGGGTTGTTTGATTTTTTGTTGTTGAGTTGTGAGAGTTCTTTATATATTATGGATATTAAGCCTTTGTCAGTATATGACTTGCAAATATTTTTTCCCAGTTAGTGGGTTGTTTTTTTTTTTCAATCCTGTTTTCATTTGCCTTGAAGAAGCTCTTTAGTCTGATGAAGTCCCATTTGTTTATTCTTTCTATTGTTTCCCTTCTCTGAGAAGACATGGTGTCTTTTATTTGTGGTGCTCTTAAGTGTTCTGCTATTGAAACCATCTTTATACATTTTTTTTTTGTTTGGAATGTGTAATATAAGAATTATTTTTCTTTGAATGCTGGGAAAATTTTAAAAAATAATTTCATCACTGCTCTTTTCTGCTTGTTATTTAATTAATTTTCTCATTTGCTTTGTATTGGGTTTGTCTTTTTGTGTCTTTTTCTGGTTTATCTGTTTTGAGTTGTCATCTGTTTACATAGTTATCCGTCTTAATTTCAAATGTATCAATAAATAATAGAGAATATTTGCCACAAAAGCTATTAATCTTTTTTATTAACTGTAGTTTTTACTTCTGGCTTTATTAATTCACATTTTCTTTCCTTTTACAAATGAATGAAGCTATTGATTTGTGTTGTATCTTCTCAATGAATTAGCTTAATTTTTTTCTACTATATTTTCCATTTTGTTTATCTCTTCTTTTGAGATTATTATTGTCATTTACTTTTTGGCTTGTAATTTTGTTCCACTTCTAAAATCTCAGTTCATTTTGCTCTTGCTTTTCTTAATAACTAAGGTATTTAGAGTGGTAAAATTTTTTTTAGTAGACTCCTGTGTATTTTGATTAAATTGGTATTTCTGTTTAAGACATTTTATTATGGTCTGCAATATTTTTTTAATCTGTTCACACTTTAGGAAAGATGTTATATATTTCTTTAAGTTAAAATATAACATTATTTATTACACTGTGCGTAACTACATATTAAACATAAAATATGTATATATTTTATACATACATTATTTCCAAATGAATGACATCTTTTAACTTAATCTGAGGGGCCAGCCCAGTGGTGCAGCGATTAAGTTAACACATTCTGCTTTGGCAGCCTGGCGTTTGCTGGTTTGGATCCCGGGCATGAACCTATGCACCGCTTGTCAAGCCATGCTGTGGCAGGCATCCCACATATAAAGTAGAGGAATATGGGCACGGATGTTAGCTCAGGGCCAGTCTTCCTCAGCAAAAAGAGGATTGGTGGCAGTTGTTAGCTCAGGGCTAATCTTCCTTAAAAAAAAATTTGTTATGAGAATTGAGTATGTGTTTTTAATATCTATTGTTTTGGATTTAACAAGGAAAATAATGACTCCTAATTTCATGTGTTAATAGTTTGCTCTCTTTTAGTTACTTCTCTAAAGAAATTGAAATCACGTTGTATATGTTACTTATTTTTTCCATACCATAGTGTGAACATTTCCTCGTGTAATTAAATAATTATTTAAAAAATACTTTTAATGGCCGCAAATTATTGTAAAGATCTTTCATAAGCTATTTAATGAGAGCAGTTTTGTTGGCTATTTAGATTGTGTTACAGTACCTTTATTTATATTTTTAATTTAAATTTTATGTATTTTTAAAAACACATACACATGGCATGAAATTCAAAGGGAACCAAAGGGTTGTCTCTTTTCCCAATGTTCCTTCCCTGTGGAGCAATCAGTGTTACTAGATTGTTGTGCTTCTTTTCAGGACTGGTTTTTGTATAAATGAGCAAATACATTTGCACTTTTTTATTTTTCACACAAATGGCTGTCTGCATCTTACTTTTTTTCACTCAGTATACCATGGAGATGATTCATATCAGTATATGAAAAAACCTTATTAATTTTAAGGCTGCAGAGTGTTCACGTATATAGATGCCCCATAATTTATTTAAGCAGACTAGTATTTGTAGATATTTAAGTCAAAACTGTATTTGAGATTTGCTTCTTATTTTTAAAGTGTAGATCTTTTGAGTCTATTCTTTCTTCTGCTCCCCTTCTTTGAGACAGTTTTGCCTATCTTAGTGAGGAATGGATCAGGCTGACAACTGCCACTGTCTTATAGGAGTTACCGACTCCTTTAAAGAAATGACCAGCTCACTTCTTTGGGGGTTAGGGGAGGACATTAGGCATAGGAGGTGGTATTAAGGAATCCTGAGATTAGAGGTCCTAACAGTGCAAATTTGTTTAAAATGTGAAATGTGATAACATAAAAAATGCATGACATAAAAGTAGTTCTTAAAGGATTATAAAGTGAACACCTGTGTGACCCCGTCCAGGTCAAGAAATAGAACATTGCCCATTTGCTACTCCCTTCTGTGCCCCTGATGGTAGTCACTTTTCCTGACAGTTATGGTATTCATGTTGATTCTCTTTACAGCTTTTTAACCTAATTATGTATTCCTAAGCAATGTAGTAAAATTGTGCTTATTTTTGGAACATTTCCTGTAACGTGAACTTTTGTAGCCCCAGGAGCAGTCTTGAAGAGGAAGAGTCATAAACGGTGTATGGCAAGTGAAGGGGCAAGGAGTCCTACTCATGTTGTCTCAATGAAGTCTGAGACTTCAGTCTTAATATTATTAGATGAACTTGAGATCTTTTTTGTACCAGGTGATGGAGCTATATCTTCACTGTTGCCAGGATTCTGGAATGAGCTGTGTTTGGTTCTGCTGTGACCAGGGCATGATGCTGCCTGGAGGTCTCTTTATGTGTCTATTCTGTTCCTACTCGTGTTCCTGTGCTGGGCAGTTTTAACTGTGTTCATGTTTAAGAATTCCTGTGGATTGCAAAAAAAGAAAAAAATTATTTCTAAACTCATACATTTGTTTTTTTTCTTTGATAATCTGTAAAAGCTATGGAATTTAATCCTGGGCTTTATTCGTAAATGCTTGTTCCCCTCTCCCATTTAGGCACCTCGAAAGCTTGAGCAAATCAAGTTTTCCCCTTTTTTGTGCAGAGTAATTTGCATTTTCTGTAAACATATGGAGAAAGTGGCATTGTGTGATAGATCATGCTTGATTTTTCAAAACAGAATTTTTTTTATAAAAAGGCTGTAGAAGTAATTTCTAGTTCACTTTTATAGTTACTTTTTAATTTTTGTGATGCTACTTATACCACAACCTAATACACATACAAATTTATGTAAAACTGAGACCAAAATTTTATGAACTGCACCCTTATTATGTACACTTACTCTGAAATCATTTATTCTCTTCTGATTTCATTAAACATAGATTGATTGGGAACCCATTAAATTGTCTGCAGGATCCCTCGGTAGGTCACTGCCCACAGTTGGATAGGTCTTTGATTTTCTAGAGGAAGAGGTTGGCTCCCAGGGATTAACCTGAGTTAGGCAAACTAGTGTTGTGGTGAGGTTAAGAGCATGGACTTTGGAGCAGGACAGAGTTGGGCTTGACACCTGGCTCTGCCACTTGCTAGTTGTTTGACCAGGGCAAGCTAGTCAGCATTCTTGGGCCTCAGCTTTCTATAAAATGGGAATGGCACTTCTTGTCTCGGGGTTATGAGGATTAAATGAGAGAATGTATGGCTGTAAGGTAAGCATTAATACACAGCAGCTGTTATTAACTATTATTACTTGTTTCAGGACTTAATAGTGTTTCTGACTTCTAGCCTAGTGCTCTTGGTACAGATTGCAGAATCTACTATGACAGGAGTTATGGGACAGCGTTAAGTAACAGAACAGGTGGATAGGAATTGCTTAGTTGATCTGCTCACCCTTTGAGATGAGTTCATGTGACCACGGGGTCTGTGTTCCCCAACTCTGCTAGTTTATTACAGGAGTGGAAACTGCCTAAAGCATCAGACAGTCACAGTGCCTTCACTGCAGAAGAGTTGGTCTTCCTGTCCTTCTTCATGGGCAGGAGGTTGAAGCTAAAGCGTGCGTTTAAATAAAGGTAGCAGTAATACTGTACATTCAGGTATCTTTGTAATGAAATTAAAAAAACTGAATTGGTCGGGTAACTCTAGATCAGTAAGATGATAGAAGGAGGAAGAAGGGGCACTTTGTTGAATGGCAGAGACAGTGACCTCTTACTACGTCTGAGACTGAAGGGGAGCCCTTGATTTAATCTGCCCTCAGGTATTCTAGAGCGAGTAAGAATTTGACTTTAAAACTCTTCCCTAGGGGCCGACCCCGTGGCCGAGTGGTTAAGTTTGGGTGCTCTGCTTTGGCGGCCCAGGGTTTTGCTGCTTCGGATCCTGGGCGCCACTCATCAGGCCATGCTGAGGCGGCGTCACACATGCCACAAATGGAAGGACCCACAACGAAAATATACAACTATGAACTGGGGGGATTTGGAGAGAAAAAAGCAAAAAAAAAAACAAACAAAAAGATTGGCAACAGTTGTTAGCTCAGGTGCCAATCTCTAAAAAATAAAATAAAATAAAACTCTTCCCTACTTTCTACTGTTCTTCCCATGTTTGGCATGCACTCCTGAGGTCAGAAGAACAGATCTTTATGAGTGTTATGCTGCTGAAATTAATATCCCATTAGATTGCTGGTAGAGTCACAGTTTTTTGTGGAATGTGAAAGCTGAGTTGTTTCTAATCGCTCTACTAAACATATATATGGTAGGTAGTGCTTTTCAAGTCTCAGCTTCCTCAACCAGTGAGATCCCATCCAGATCCTGAGGAAAATCCAGGTGTGATGGAGGAAGTACCTACGTGCTTTCTGGAAATGGTGACCTAAGATGAGGCCACTCTGCTTTCTCTTTTTCCCACAGATTTTGAAGCCAGCTTCATAAGGCTCTTGGACAAAATAACTAATGGTTCTCGAATCGAAATAAATCAAACAGGTAAGCTCCTTTTTTCTTCCCATTGCTGAAAGCACCTACATGTGCTACTTAAATATTCCTCTGTTTCTCACTCCTTTTGATGTTATAAATATTGTGCTCAGATGAAAAGACCCAGTTTCCTGTCTGTGATGCAATTGTCTGGAGATGTATATGAAATCTGCCAATTTAAGGGGCACACACTTGATTTAAGGAAGTTAGAAGAATGAAACTTTCAAATCAACAAGCAACCACTTCCTCTTTTTTAACAATATATTTTATACCTAACATTTACCTACAACTTTTCAAAGTCCATTTATATACTTATATTGTCACATTAAAATCTTACAACAAACTCTGAGGTAATTGTATGTGCTGAATTTTATTGTTTTATTTTGCCTTTCAAAAGAAGTTTGTACAAGTATATGCAAAAAATGTGAAAAATCCCTTCACCTGTTTCCTCTTCCACTCTCCCCGGGGGCAGCCACAGTCACAGCCTGGGGTGTGTGCCTTTGTTTCATTTATATGCATTTGCTTACATGGGCACCTTGTATCTCAAACCATCAAAAGGGTCATGCTCTTCATATTATCCTGCAGCTAACTATTTTTTACTAGCACACATGTCTCAGAGAACTTTCCCTGCCTGGCACATGCAAGTCCCTCTCAGTATTTCAATGACATTTAGGTGGTTTCTAGCTCTTTGTTTGCTATTAGAAACTCTTGTATCTATATTGTGTAGGATACCATGGCCAGCATCCTTTGGCCAACTCCATGAACTATGTACCTTTGCATGTGTATTCATCAAAGGAAACTCTCACCTTTCTCATAGGTTGGCTCTCTTAAGAAAGAAGACAAGCTTGGCTTTCTAAGTGACCATCCACCACATCAGACTCATTGACCTGTAGCTGCATTCAGCCATACCTTGTAGAGAACAGGTTTCAGGCATGAGACTTCAGATGCCCTTTGCAAGCTATGAGTCCCTTAGTCTTCCTTGGCTTGTTCACTTTGAAGTTCTTGGAGATTTTTTCAGCAATTTTTATTGGCGAATCAGAGGGCAGGTAATTCTAACATCTGCAGCTTAGGTTGGGAAATGAGATATTTACATGATCCCGCTTCCACTTCATCCCATCCTGCCTGCCCCTCTCAAGTAAAAGCCTTCATTCTGATAATCTGGTCAATTTCTCATTTGGTTAATTTGAAGGCATAAACAGATTTGCAGAGTTTAGTGGTTATGTAGTCTTCTTTTGGCTTTTTGACCTAAAGGATTGGTTTTATGACTCTAATAATATTTAGAATAAGTAATGTAGAATCTTTCCCTTAGAGAAGTTTGGGAAGAATATGATTCTGATTGTGATTGTTGGGATTTTGGTTTTTAATATAGTAAAACTTAAGTTTATTTTATGAAACTCTCAAGAACGACTTTCCTTTTGAGTGACTGAACACATCTCCTTCCTCTGAAATTTGCTTATTGGTAAATTGTGCCAGAAGACATTGCAAAACATTTGAGCAACAAAAATACCTAGTTCACCCATTTATAACCCTCAGATCATCTAGAGTATTTTACTTTTCTTCCCCCTCCAATATGTAAATCCAGTAAGAAACTTTTTGGATGATACGAATATGTGAAAGAGTGAATAAAGATAATAAAGAGTTTCCACTAAAGCTATTCAATAATTTTATTTATTACTATTAAATTAAAATAGCTACTGTTAATGGCATTAAGTGCCATAAAGTACTTGTTTGGTGACTGTGATATATGAGAAATCTCATTTCAAGGGCCTAGAAGACGCTGGTTGCTGGTATGATGATTTCAGAACATCATTTGTAACGCCTCCCTGCCCCTCATCAGCAGAGTCTAAAAGTGTGCTCCTCGGAGGCTAGGGTGTCCGTTAGAATCTCTCCTCTGTGCCCTGCCACGACTTTGGCAATTTGGGTGGCTTGGGGAGGGGTTTGATTTATTACTGTTTATTAAATTACACTCGCAGTTTATTATTGTTACAAGGGCTTGACAGTAATGAGTCAGCTTTTGGATTGAACTGTGGGCTCTTAGGAATGGCATTTTGAACTCTCTTGGATGCCCTTGTCAGACTTCCCCTTTGCGACTCACTGCCTTCGTTGCCTGTGTGATACTTTTTTTTTTCTGCTGAATGTGGCTTTCTTTCCTCCCGTGTAAGGAACGACGTTATATTATCAGCCTGGCCTCCTGTATGGTGGATCTGTGGAACATGACTGTAGTGTCCTTCGCAGCATTGGCTATTACCTGGAGAGTCTTCTTTGCCTGGCTCCATTTATGAAGCACCCGTTAAGAATAGTTCTGCGAGGAGTGACCAATGACCAGACTGACCCTTCGGTGAGTAGTGGGGCCAAACCAAACCATGGTGTGATTTTTGTTTTGTCTCTTGGCACAAGTGAACTTTTGAGAAACAAGTGCCTGATAAAGCACAGGTTTATTGTTGAGCCTATTTGTTTTGTTGTTTTCCTTGAGATTTAGAGATTAATCACTCTAGGAGGCAGATGAACCAAGACTTGTAATCGTCAAATTCAGTGACAATTGTTAACATTCATCAAGGTGCCTTTCATTGTGTCTAAGAACCTTCAGAACAGATGCTTGCAGTCTCGTCATCGTTGACATGAAATATGGCTCTGATGGCTGAAGTGTATGGGAGTGGAACTTTCATGAGGTCATGTGATAGCTGAGGCTGGAAGGCAGCAGATCAAAAGTTTAGACAGAAAATAATCTCTCCTTGGCATTGCTGCAGCGTGATCTTGACTTGCTCAGGCTTCAACCGTAAACTTTAGCACTTTCTTCTTCCAAGAAGAATTTGCAGGTTTAGAAAAAAGGCATAAGGGCAACGAAGGTATATGTGAGCTTTGATAGCGTATGGGCACCAGCAAGCTTCTTATTAAACACGCTAATTTTCCTCCACGTATGGAGAGGATACTTTAATATACAGGTGGAATTTTCACTGTAGCCACCACAACTGTCTTAGTGCCAGTCTGGGATGGGTTTTGTGTGTGTGTGTGTGTGTGTGTGTGTGTGTGTGTGTGTGTGTGTGTGAGAGAGAGAGAGAGAGAGAGACAGAGAGAGATTAGGGAAGTCCTGTGTCCAGGCCTGCCTTAGATCTCTTCTTGGGCGGGAAGGATGCCCATCTTTGGATGCTCTCCTGTCTAGAGACGGTATCTTAGAGCTGAGGGCTGTGTAGCTTTCCTAACCAGGGAAGACCAGTTAGGTGGTGTGGTGAATCCTGAAGTGGAGACTGCTGGTATTCACCGAGACACTATGGTTAATGTGTTCTTAGGCATTAAAAGACTTATTCCCCAATTCTTGGGAATTCAGGTACATAAACTCTTTTCCTAGAATCCCAAGTACAGTGCAAGATCTGGAATTCTTAGCTGTAAAGGAATGTTGCATAAACTGTTTAGAATTTTAAACTAATTTCAAATGATTGCTTTCTTCCTGCATTTTCTGGAATATTCTAGGAAATGGGCCCTTCAGTTAAAAGTGTGACGAGGTCTGTATACTTAGATTGGAGTGGGGAGGAAGGTGCCTTGAATAATGGGAAAAGGCCCTGAAGTCTATAGGTGACTGGTGCTGTTGGTCCCAGTTTTGTACTGTTTTTCTCTAATTGCTAATAATCTTAAAAGCTCTTATCACTGGCAATATTTTAACAGGTTTTGTGTATTAATAGTGACAAAGATTAGTTGACAAGTTCCCCAGAAATAGTACTTAACTCTTTTATGCAGAGTTAAAAAAAAATCTGTTTTCGTATGCTGCAGGACTATCTGCTTTTGCGAACTGCATGACTAAAATGACCTTGGTTAGTCTCTGGCTGCAGTCCAGTATAAAATAAATACATCTAATCCGGGATAAAGAGTAACTTCTTCAGCCTGTGGCTCCTTCATTTCGAGCTTTCTCTTTAATGTCTGGTTTCTCCATCAGTTCATGTCTGCATTTACTCTCTGCACACAAGGATGAGTACAATGAGTTCTGCTCTTAGGGGACTCGGTCTCATGGGGTGGACAGCTGTGAACCCAGCTAGGGAGACCACAAGGCTGAATACTTCTGGGATCTGATAGAGATATAAGCAAAGTGTGAGGGTTGGGGAAGGTTTTCTAGAGGAAGGAAAGCCACAGAGTCAGTCTGGGTTTTAGGAAGATAACTCTGGAGGCTGAATAAAGAATGAATTGGAGAGGTGTCAGCTTGCTTGAACATTATGGAGATGGAAGTGGAAAGGAAAGGACAGATATGAAGTACAGTGTGGAGGGGAGACTTCGTAACTTGACAGCTAATTGGAGATGGGATAGGAGGAAGTGGTTATAAATAACTCCATGATTTCTGTCCTGGTTGACTTGAAGGATAGTGATCAGAAAGAGTTTGATACAGGAAAGAGGGAAGTTTTGGTAGGCCAATGGGTGTTATGTTTGATTTTGGTCCTGTTCTCTGGGATATTGGTGGGATATCCATATGGGGATATCTAGTTAGCAGTTGGAGCTTCAGAGATAGGTCATGAGGATCTCACCTACTGATACTTAAATCCCTAGGAGAATGAGATTGACCAGTGTGGAGGTTGAACCCTGGTGGCTTTGTAGTTGAATTCATCATACAGGTGTTTTCCTTTGGCTTGCACAGTCTGGTGGTGTGTGTATCTGAATTGGTTGTTCCTGTTTGAAACCTCAGATTTTATGTTACAGGAGGTTGATGTGGCAGTGCTGGATGACTGTTCCTCCAGAGAGCTATCAGTTTGAGCTGAGCATCAGCTGCCCTCTTTGGATAAGACGTGAGCTCTCCAGTTATCTTGGGGTCTTAGCTGACTTCATCATTAATTTAAATTCCCTTTCTGGCCTCTGTGGGTGTTAGTTTTTGTCCGTAGTCCCGGGGACTGAGAATAGAAGAAGAGGAAATGAATGTTTAACGCGTGAGTGGGGCAAGAGGAGCTGGAGACAGTGGCTGTGGAGATAGAAGTGTTTGGAGAAGCCGAGCAGGAGTTGAGTCCTAAGAGTCGGGATGACCGAGAGAGCCAGTCTTTGCAGGAGTTGCGTTAGGATTGGACAGGGAGATTCAGCGGTGAGAAGTTTTATTGACCTTTGAGAGAGCAGTGTCATTGGAGAGTAAGGACAGTCACAGGTTCAGGAATAAGTAGAAAAGAGAACCACGGAAAGTTAGAGGTTCTTCCAGAAGGCTAGATAGGATGACTCCTGCAGAGCTGAGGTTGGGAATTTTTTTTAAATGAGGGGAAATTTGAGCTTGCTTATAGGCCAAAGAGAAGCTGTGATGCAGGAGGAAAGAATTAAATAAAAGGGGTTGGGGGATTTAATAAGGGTAACAACTCCTGCATAAGTCCAGAGGGGGATGAAGATATGGAGCAGAAGTGACAGGATGAGCTTTACAAATGGGTAGGGACTATTTTTTCCTCAGAACTTCCTCAAAAGAAAAGTTGCAGGAGGTCTCCTTTGAATCTCAGTGATTTGGCACCAGAGCCCCTGGTAGATATTTATTGGTGCTATCGACTTGCTCAAATGGTGAGTGAGGATTTCATTCTTTTTCATTACCCTCCTGGAAGGGAAAAAGAAGTACAATAAAGTCTGTTGTGTGCTGGGCACTGTTCTAGGTGTACAGAGGTACGTATATATGTATCCATTTTTATTTAATTCTTGTACCAACCCTGTGAGAACCCTGTTCTTGTCACTGTTTCAGACAAAGTAACTGAGAGCAAGTTTCTTTCCTTTTTCTGTTTGGCATGGCTCTGATTACATTTCTACCTGTTGATTGATTGACTGAACTGAAGGGTGATGCCTTTGCTCTCAGGTGCTACTTGAGTCAGACTTTTGCATTTTCTCTCTAACCACAGAATGACTGCTCAGTTTCCCTTAAGCAGAACTTGCAGACCACCCCCACTCTGCTAAAACTAGTGTGCAGAGCTGGAGGAGACTGTGGAGCATGTCCATTCCAGCCCCTGGTTTTATTCAGCAGGAAACCAGGGCCCCGGGGAGATAGGGAAGTGTCCAGGTCACATAGGTGGTAAGAGGCGGAGTGAGACTCAAGCCCACATCTGCTTTTCCAGCCCTTGTCCACCGCACCAAGTTGCCTGCCCTCCACGTCAGATGGAGATTGGTTTAGGAGACAGGATCACACCTGGAGTTACACTTGGACTTCTGACTGACCCTCAGATTTTACTTCATCCTTTATGACTCCAAATATAGGTAGGATGAGCCAGAAAGGATACTCACTTTTCTCACTTTTCTTTTCCTCAGGAGAGCTGGTGGCTGCCTGGTTCCAGGGAGTCATGCAGGCAGAGTAACTTGCATCCTTGCATCCCCCACTTCTCCAGAAGGCTTGGCCTTCTCCCCAGATGCCCTTAATACTAGCCTAGACTGAATTCTTTTTGGTTCTGGCAATCCCAAATACATATTTTAAGTTTTGGGGTGTGTTTAGCTTTAATATTTAATTGAAATTAGCTATAATCTTATGAGTTTTATTAGTAACTGCTTCTGCCCCACCCAATCTATTCTGAACATTTTCCTAGGCTTCGTAGGTCATTTCTACCTCTGGTTAATTTTCTGATATCAGAATATGTAGTTGGGGCCTATTCGCTGCTCCACAGCCTTATTGGAATATCATTCTATTGAATCTTCCCATGTTGGAGTTGGTAGCAATTTGGAGACAGGCTGAACCCCTTACCTCAGAGACAAGGAAATTCAGACATTTGGGATTTTCTTGTCTGAGGCCACACAGCTGACTAGAGGCAGAGCCTGAAGCAGGACCAGGGCCTTCCCTACACCCTCTGCTCATGCTGCTGGCCCTCTTGTTCCATTGGGAACAAGTAAGGGAGTCGTTTTCTTTCCCATGTTGCAGTTGAGGCAGCATTTGCTGAATTGTTAGAGAAACGTGATTTGAATGTCGTCCTTATACTCTATGAGGAATCTACAGATGAACAAGAAAGGACCCCAGGCCTCCTCCCAGTTCTGAATAGGGAAGAAATAACAGTAACACTTGGCACAGCCATGCCATGAACTGTGCAGGTTGGGATTTGTGCTGCTCCCACTCCCTCGTGGACTCACCACCTACCCTTCAACTGCCTGTGGGGTGGGCGTCAGCAGGGTTCTTAGGAAGCCGTTGAGCAGTTCGTTTGGTTTGCTTTGGCTCGGACTGCTACTGGTTCTGAACGTTTAAACAACCATGTTAGAAAAAGATTAATGAAAAAGGCTATTTTCTTCCATAGTGTTTATACCTAAAAGAATGAGCTTAGGTCCCAGTTTGTTTTCTGTATGAGCCCAGCAGTTTGTTAATGCTTTTTGCATGATGCATGTGATGCTCACGATGATAACTTGTAAGGTAGATGTAAGTCTCCATGTCATAAATGAGGAAGGGGGCTCAGAGGAGCCAGTGGCTTGTAAAAGCTCGGCCTTACTCGGGAGCAGAGCCAGCCCATGCCTGCAGTTGTAAGCCAGCATCCTTTCTCTTTACTAGACTGTATCATCTACCTGATTGCTAAGCCTCAACCAACTTCATAGACTCTTTCTTCTTTCCATCTTCTCTAGGCTTTTGTTTGGTGAGGAAGAGTGGCCCTGGGCTGACATCTGTTGCCAATCTTCCTCTTTTTGCTTGAGAAAGATTCTCCCTGAGCTAACGTATGTGGCAGTCTTCCTCTATTTTGTATAGAGGGATGCTGCCACGACATGGCTTGGTGAGCGGTACGTAGGTCCGTGCCCAGGATCCAAACTGTGAACCCTGGGCTGGCGAAGTGGAGCGTGTGACCTTAACCACTGCACCACTAGGCTGGCCACTGCTCAAGGTTTAATTAAACCTTTTTTTCTGAAATAATTCTGCAGGTTGATGTTCTTAAGGCAACAGCCCTTCCTCTACTGAAACAGTTTGGGATTGATGGTGAATCGTTTGAGCTAAAGGTAAGAATGTATGAATTGTTGGCTGTATATATCTGCATAAAACGTTTTCTTATCAGCTCATTGGAAGAGCTGTATGACTCTGTGTGTGTGTATTACATTTGAAGTCATCATTTTTGAGAAGACACACAGGACTCGTGAACCAAACGTTATAGACTTCAAGTGGAAGGGACACTTGAGTAATGACGATAGTAGCCAGCAGTTACATTGCACTTACTTTGTGGTAGGCACTGTCATAAGCATTCCATGTATATTAACTCCTTAATTCCTTATAACAGCTGCATCCGTGTCACTCAGCTAATAAGTAATGGAGCCAGGATTCTGGCCATATTGCCTCCCTAATCTAGATCAACCTGGATGCCCCTGAGAATTAACAGTATTTTCAAAAACTAGTAGAAGTAATGTAACATCTGTTTGTTTGCCGTTGAAAGGAATTGCATCAATCAAGTGTGATAACACTGGATGTCTTAAGCTGTTTAGAATCTCTGCTTTTTAAACTGGTGTTTTTAAACATGGGAAATGACTTCATTTTTATTTAATAGTATAGAGTTTTGATAGATGAGTTAATTGCATAGAAGGAGAAATAAGTTCCTGATGGTTAAGAAATGGGATTAGCTCACGAACTAGGTCAATCTCTCTTTTTAAGGATGAAGAAATAGGTCCTGATGGTAGAGTGACCTGCCTGGCTTTGATGGGACATGCTGGCTCTGTGTCTGCCGTTCTTTCTGAGACATGATGGGGTGTATTTGCTTAGCATGTGCCCTCTTGGAACTAACATAAGGTGCTGTTAATCTTGAAGAGATGGACAAGTTGAATGTGAAAGGGCTGTCTGCTTTCTAAGGAAGAGCCCCTTGGTGAAACCTCACTGGGTTGGGTGTCAGTCATCCACTCTTTGCTACAACCTTGCCTCTTCTTTCTCACCACATGTGCAGATTGTGCGACGGGGAATGCCTCCTGGAGGAGGAGGTGAAGTGTTTTTCTCATGCCCTGTGAGGAAAGTCCTGAAGCCCATTCAGCTCACAGATCCAGGAAAAATCAAACGTATCAGAGGAATGGCGTATCCTTTGCATTTGGTTCAGATTTCTTATTTTTTTCCTCTCCTCACTAAGATAAGAATGACTCATAATAACTTCACTTCTTCCCAAGGTTATTTATGTTTTAGAGAACAATCTTGGAAGAGTCTTAACAGTGATATTGTAATTGTTGGCTGAGATAAGATACTTTATTGTCTGCTTCACCATGACTAGATTGATTGGTTGATTCATTTTCGTCTTTTCGTTAATGCTTAAGCAAATGGCTCCCATGTATGTGATACTCTCTTGAGGTCTTTGGTTTGGGTGCCACCAATGCACTGCCGCCCTTCCCTCAGAAGAGCTCATCGTCTGGTGGAGGAAACAAATATGCAAACACATAGTTCTGATGTAAGGTGTAAAATGATATGGACATATGTGCAGTGGGCTGGGAGAGCTAAGAGTAGAGAGTGGCTAATTTTATCTGAAGAATGTAGGAGGACTGAGATAATAATAGTATCTACTATTTATTAAGTGCTTATTCTGCATGCACTTTGATAATCACTTTATATACTTATTTTTTAAAATCTAATTTATTGCGGTATGATTGACATCCAAAAAGTTGTACATATTGAATTTATACAACTTGATGAGTTTGGAGATAAGTATACACCTTTAAAACACAATCAATGCCATAAATATGTCTCTCACCTCCAGAAGTTTCCTCTTCCACTCTTTTTTTGTTGTTGTTCTTTGGGATAACGCTTAACATGAGATCTACCCTCTTAGCAAGTTTTTCTTTTTGGTGAAGAAGATTGGCCCTGAGCTAATATCTGTTGCCAGTCTTCCTGTTTTTGCTTGAGGAAGATTGTTGCTGAGCTAACATCTGTCGCACTCTTCCTCTGTTTTGCATGTGGGGCACTGCCACAGCATGGCTTGATGAGCTGTGTGTAGGTCTATGCCTGGGATCTGAACCTGCAAACCCCAGGCTGCTGAAGCAGAGCACACAAACTTAACCACTATGCCACTGGGCCGCCCCCACCCCCACTTAGCAAATTTTTGAGTACACAATACAGTATTATTGTACTATAGGCAATATAGTACTATAGGCATTATGCACAGTAGATCTCTAGGACTTATTCATCTTGTCTAACTGAAACTTTGTACTCTTTGACCAAAACATCCCTGTTTCTGCCACCCGCTAGCCCCTGGCAACTAGCATTCTACTTTCCACCTCTGTGAGTTTGACTCCTTTAGATTCCTCATGTAAGTGGGATCATGTAGTATTTGTTCTTCTGTGTCTGCCTTATTTCACTTAGTACAGTGCCCTCCTGGTTCACACCTGTTGTCACAAATGACAGGGTTCCCTTCTTTTTAAATGTTTAGTAATACTCCATTGTGTGTAAGTATCATGTTTTCTTTATCCATTCATCTGTTGATGGACATTTATGTTGCTTCTATATCTTGGCTGTTGTGAATAATGCTGCAATAAACATGAGAGTGCATGTATCTCTTAGAGATCCTGTTTTCAATTCCTTTGGATATATACCTAAAAATGGGATTGCTAGATCATGGCAGTTTTATTTTTAATTTCTTGAGGAACCTCCATACTGTTTTTCGTAGTGGCTGTACCAATCTGTATTCCTACCAACAGAGTATAAGGGATCCCTTTTCTCCACACCCTTGCCAACACTTATTTTTTGTTTGTTTTTTTTTAATAGTTATTCTAACAGGTTGAGGTGATATCTCATTGTGGTTTTTACTTATATTTCCCTGATGATTAATGATGTTGAGCACTTTTTCGTGTACCTGTGGCCATTTGTTTGTCATCTTTGGAGAAATGTCTATTTAGGTCCTTTGCCAATTTTTAAGTCAGGTTTGTCTTGCTATTGAGTTATATGAGTTCCTTATAATTTTTTATTTTAACTCTTTATCAGATATATGATTTGCAGATTTTTTTAAATCTGATACATGATTGCAAATGTCTCTAATTCTGTAGTTTGCCTTTTCAATTTGTTGATTGTTTCCTTTGCTGTGCTTTTTAGTTTGATGTAATTTCATTTGTCTATTTTTCCTTCTGTTGCCTGTGTTTTTGGTGTCATATCTAAGAAATCATTGCCCAGGCTAAGAAGCTTTTCCCTTATTTTTTTTTTTTATTGAGTTATTGATAGGTTACAATCTTGTGAAATTTCAATTGTACATTAATGTTTGTCAGTCATGTTGTAGGTGCACCACTTCACCCTTTGTGCCCACCCCCCACCCCACCTTTCCCCTGGTATCCACTAAACTGTTCTTGGTCCATAGTTTTAAATTCCTCATATGAGTGGAGTCATACACAGATTATCTTTCTCTGGCTGGCTTATTTCACTTAACATAATTCTCTCAAGGTCCATCCATGTTATTGCAAATGGAATGATTTTGTTCTGTTTTGCAGCTGAGTAGTATTCCATTGTATATATGTACCACATCTTTATCCATTCATCTGTTGATGGGTGCTTAGGTTGCTTCCACGTCTTGGCTATTGTAAACAGTGCTGCAATAAACATTGGGGTGCACAGGACTTTTGGGATTGCTGACTTCAGGCTCTTTGGATAAATACCCAGTAGTGGGATGGCTGGATCGTATGGTAGTTCTATTTTTAGTTTTTTGAGGAATCTCCATACTGTTTTCCATAGTGGCTGCACCAGTTTGCATTCCCACCAGCAGTGTATGAGGGTTCCTTTTTCTCTGCAACCTCTCCAACATTTGTTGCTATTAGTTTTAGATATTTTTGTTATTCTAACGGGTGTAAAGTGATATCTTAGTGTAGTTTTGATTTGCATTTCCCTGGTGATCAGCGATGATGAGCATCTTTTCATGTGCCTATTGGCCATCAGTATATCTTCTTTGGAGAAATGTCTGTTCATGCCTCCAGCCCATTTTTTGATTGGGTTGTTTGATGTTTTGTGATTGAGTTGCGAGAGTTCTTTATATATTAAGGATATTAAGCCTTTGTCAGATATATGACTTGCCAATATTTTTTTCCCAGTTAGTGGGTTGTTTTTTTGTTTCAATCCTGTTTTCATTTGCCTTGAAAAAGCTCTTTAATCTGATGAAGTCCCATTTGTTTATTCTTTCTGTTGTTTCCCTTCTCTGAGAAGGCATGGTGTCCAAAAAGATCCTTTTAATACTGATGTCAAAGAGTGTACTGCCTAGGTTTTCTTCCAGAAGCCTTATGGTTTCAGGTCTCACCTTTAGGACTTTAATCCATTTTGAGTTTATTTTGGTGAATGGTGAAAAAGAATGGTCAATTTTCATTCTTTTACATGTGGCTTTCCAGTTTTCCCAGCACCATTTGTTGAAAAGACTTTCTTTTCTCCATTGTATGCCCTCAGCTCCTTTGTCAAAGATAAGCTGTCCGTAGATGTGTGGTTTTATTTCTGGGCTTTCAATTCTGTTCCATTGATCTGTGCACCTGTTTTTGTACCAGTACCATGCTGTTTTGATTACTGTAGCTTTGTAGTATGTTTTGAAGTCAGGGATTGTGATGCCTCCCGTTTGTTCTTTTTTCTCAGGATTGCTTTAGCAATTCGGGGTCTTTTGTTGCCCCATATGAATTTTAGGATTCTTTGTTCTAATTCTGTAAAGAATGTCATTGGGATTCTGATTGGGATGGCGTTGAATCTGTAGATTGTTTTAGGTAGAATGGACATTTTAACTATGTTTATTCTTCCAATCCCTGTACATGGAATGTCTTTCCATCTCCTTATGTCGTCATCCAATTCTCTCAGAAAGGCCTTGTAATTTTCATTATATAGGTCCTTCTCTTCCTTAGTTAAATTTACCCCAAGGTATTTTATTCTTTTTGTTGCGATTGTGAATGGTATTGTATTCTTGAGTTCTTTTTCTGTTGGTTCATTACTGGAGTATAGAAATGCTACTGATTTATGCAAATTGATTTTATACCCTGCAACTTTGCTGTAGTTGTTGATTACTTCTAACAGTATTCCAATGGAGTCTTTGGGGTTTTCTATATATAAGATCATGTCGTCTGCAAACAGCGAGAGTTTCACTTCTTCCCTCCCTATTTGGATTCCTTTTATTCCTTTTTCTTGCCTGATGGCTCTGGCCAGGACCTCCAGTACTATGTTAAATAAGAGTGGTGATAGAGGGCATCCTTGTCTTGTTCCTGTTTTCAGGGGGATGGGGTTCAGTTTTTGCCCATTGAGTATGATGTTGGCTATGGGTTTGTCGTATATGGCCTTTATTATGTTGAGGTAGTTTCCTTCTATGCCCATTTTGTTCAGAGTTTTTATCATAAATGGCTGTTGGATCTTGTCAAATGCCTTCTCTGCATCTATTGAGATGATCATGTGGTTTTTATTCCTCAGTTTGTTGATGTGGTGTATCACGTTGATTGATTTGCGGGTGTTGAACCATCCCTGTGTCCCTGGTATGAATCCCACCTGATCCTGATGTATGATTCTTTTGATGAATTGCTGAATTCTGGTTGCCAAAATTTTGTTTAGAATCTTTGCATCTATGTTCATCAGTGATATTGGCCTGTAGTTCTCTTTTTTCGTGGTGTCCTTGTCAGGTTTTGGTATCAGCGTGATGTTGGCCTCATAGAATGTGTTAGGAAGTGTTCCATCTTCCCTAACTTTTTGGAATAGCTTGAAAAGGATAGGTATTAAATCCTCTCTGAAAGTTTGGTAGAATTCCCCAGGAAAGCCATCTGGTCCTGGGGTTTTATTCTTTGGGATGTTTTTGATTGCTGTTTCAATCTCTTTCCTTGTGATTGGTCTGTTCAAATTGTCTGCTTCTTCTTGAGTGAGCTTTGGGAGATTGTAGGAGTCCAAGAATTTATCCATTTCCTCTAGGTTATCCATTCTGTTGGCATATAGTTTTTTGTAGTATTCTCTTATAATCTGTTGTATTTCTGCAGAGTCTGTTGTTATTTCTCCTCGCTCATTTCTGATTTTGTTTATTTGAGCTTTCTCCCTTTTTTTCTTTGTAAGTCTGGCTAGTGGTTTGTCAATTTTATTTATCTTCTCAAAAAAACCAGCTC